AGGCGATCTGTGATTGTCGCCCTGGATTTATGGGTGAGGAATCCAGGCACAGAGAGGTGGGGAACCCACTCAAGGCCTCAGCCAGTGTAGGCGGGGTCCTCCTGGGAGGGCTGGCTCCTAGCCCTGCACATCTCCTGCCCTGCACTGGGCTTAGCCGTGTCCTGCACGGCTCAGACACCCACTGGGGCCAGGCTGCAGGGGGTAGGAACAGCAACAGCCAGGCCCCACATGAAGCCCAGTCCCACATGTCAGACCTCCTACCCATGGCCAGAGTCCTCCAGGAGGTGATGGAGGAGGAGGGGGCTCAGAGCGGGGGCCTCAGCCCAGATGGAGCATCAGAGAGGCTTCCTGGAGGAGGTGGCTTTTACTGAGTCCTGGATGTGGAGAGGAGTGTTGAGAACACAGCTGTGCCCAGTGGCCTTTGTCAAGGAAAGGAGGTGGTCTGATTTATAAAGGGAAGGAGTGAGGCCTGCTGGCTCAGCGGCTGCCATGAGGAACATCAGGTGACACGCCCACCTGCTGGCTCAGAGCTGTGGCTGGAAGCCCTGCCCAGCAGGCCCCAGGAGATGGCTCTCGGGAGGCAGTGGGCAGGCCCGATTACTGTCCTGAGAGGGAGAGGAAGGCCGGGCGGGTGGGGGTGGAGGGGGCCTCAGGACCATCAAGACCAGAGCATCTCCGGCCAGCCTCGGCGCAGGCTGCTGCCTCTACATACCTGGGGAGTCGGGGGCCCCTCAGCTGGGTCACCGCACAACTTCCTGAGGAATGAGAATTTCTTGGCTGCAAAGAAAATGGAAAGCATGTCAGGACTGATGTGGTGCCTGACTCTGGGCCAAGAGCCCCGGGAGGAGCAGGTGGGAGGGAGCAGCTCCCGGGCAGAGCCGGCTGCAACCTCAGGGCACCAGGAAGCCACCAAGGGCCACCAGGAGATGGGTGAGCTCCTCCCAGAGGTCAGCGGGCAGCTCAGCCGGTCTGGGGGACCCCGAAGGGTTTGGGGGTCACCTGGCTGCCTCAGCCGCAGGTTTGATGGCTATCTTACATTTCTTTTGTATGCACAGATTGTGTATTCACGTGGCTCCGAAGCTCAAGACTCTATTACAAGTCAGTGAGAACACTGCCCCTCCCATCCCTGCCACGATCCCTCCCCAGCCCCACTGGGAAGACTAGAGGAGCTTCCGGTGTTTCCTCCCAGAGTCCCTTGATGCAAACACCAGCACACAGGAACACACACTCCCTTTCCTCCTTCCTTGATCAGAAGATCATCGGCTACACTCACTGTTGCGCTCCTGACTTTTTTCATTTAACAATATATCCTAGAGATGATTCCACAATATTCCATGAAGAGCTTTCTCACTCTCTGTCCACTTGTCCTCCCATCCAGGCTGCAGAGCACCCAGACCTGTCTGGATGGACACTGGGCTGCGGCCTGCATTCGGCCCTTAGAAACAACACAGCAATGGTCTTCACATGGTGACAGCCTGTGCTGCAAACACTGCGGGCCTAGCTGCATCAAAGGGCACCTGCGTTTGACATTTGGAGGGAGATTGTCCAATTGTCAATCTCTCTGATGGTTTTAAAATATGGCCACACATTCTTTAACCCTCCTCCCTTCAAGAGGTGGAGCCTCATTCTCCCCACTTGAACACAGCTGAGCTTTTTTTACTGCCTCACCGCTAATGAACAGAATATGCTGGAAGAGGGGGTGCTGGACTTCAAGACTGGGCTCTAAAAGGCATTGCAGCTACCTCCTTGCACACTTAGATCACACATGTGGGGAAGCAGCTGCCATGCTTTCAGGGCACTCAAGCAGCCCCGTGGAGAGGCCATGAGGTAAGGAACAGAGGCCTCCTGCCTATAGCTGTGTCAGGTAGCCACCTTGGAAGTGGCTTCCCCAGCCTCAGTTGGGCCTTTGAATGATGCTGCAGCCCATGCTGACATTCTGACCACAATCTTGTGAGGGAACCCGAGCCAGAACCACCTGCTAGGCTGTACCTGCATCCTGACCTTTGGAAACTAAGAGATAGTAAAGGTTTGTTGTTTCAGTCTGTTCTTTATTATACGGGAATAGACAACCAGCTCATGCCCCTCCTAGCAATGTAGAGAACGCAAAGGTCCTAATGTGAGTCCCTGTGTCACAAGAGGAAGCGTGACCTTACCAAGAGATGGATAGACTGAGGTTCAGGGAGGGTGAAGAACTGTAGGAAGCCACTGGGACTCAGCAGTAGAGCCTTTGCCACACTGTCCTATCCATCTGTTCATGTATCCATCCAC